CGATCAGAGTTCCAATGTCATTAAAAGGCAAGGGAGTCCTGATGATCTACTCCAAAATAAATAAAATAAATCGCCATTTGATTTGAAAGGGCCAGCAGTCCTTTCCGCACAGGTCTTGCAGAGCTGGGATGACTTGGGGTTCTTGTGTGACTCATCTCTATGAAAGTACAGTCATAGTCAAGACCTCACTGAGGATCAGACACAGTTCTGGCTGGGAACAGAGTCTGGGCCGGTGATCACGTCCCACAGCAAAACAGGCCACTGCAGAAAAAAGTTGCACAATTTTTCAAGAGACTAATCCAGAAAGCTGCATCTTAGGGTAATGAGCTTCAGCATTACAGCTTGGGTGCAATTTTCCCATAGACGTGTTTTTACAGCTGTGGTTAATGTGTGACTAATCCTTACTGTGGAGTAAACCACATTACCACTCCTTAAAAAACTGGGAAACTTTGTTAGTATGTTGTGGGGGCGGGGGCAGGGAGGGGATGGGAATAGACTGAAAGGGCAACTGCTGAAAATGTAAGATGATTCTCAATTATTTTTTACTGGTTTGAGCTGTGCATGTTTTATGATGAACTATTAGGTCTGGCTACAGTTACTTTATGACTATATATATATCTCTCATGGAAGTAAAAGCAAGGAGAAGCCTTTGACTTACATATAAGCAAACGCCGACAAATATTAATGGCAGTAATAAAGTCAGCTTGCTTCTTGAGCTGACATTCCTTCAAATAATTACTAAATATTCAAGCTCTCTGGCCCTGCAAGCAGACCACCCAAAATTACTTTCCAAAATTATATTCCAAAATTACTACAGTGGAACCTCGGGTTAAGAACTTAAAATTCGTTCTGGAAGTCCGTTCTTAACCTGAAACTGTTCTTAACCTGAGTTACCACTTTAGCTAATGGGGCCTCCTGCTGCCACCGCGCCACCGCCGTGAAATTTCTGTTCTCATTCTGAAGCAAAGTTCTTAACCTGAGGTACTATTTCTGGGTTAGCAGAGTCTGTAACCTGAAGGTACCACTGTACTTTCTTTAGTGAAGTAAGGGGGCAGGGAGAGGATTGGGGAACCCAACCTCGAACACATTCAGTGTTATATCATCACTTTAGCATATGGGTATATAAATCAAAAAATCATTGAATTTGGATGGGACCACAAAGGTCATCTAGTCCAACCCCCTGCAATTCAGGAATCTTTTTACCCTATGTGGGCTTCAAAACCATGACCCTGAGATTAAGAGTCCTGTGCTCCACCCACTGAAGAAAAGTTTCAGTTCACATAAAATCCAGCACCAGAAGGACTACCAAAATTAAAAAGAAAAGACAGCACATACCACAGGACATTTCCTCAATCTGGTGTCCTCCAGAAATTTTTGACTATGATTCTCAGCAACCCCAACCGGTATGTGGGAAGAGACTGATGGGAATTGTCGTCCAAAACTTCTGAAGGGCACCAGGTTGGGAAAGGCTGTAACCAAAATGTTAACGGGGAACAAAGAAAGAAGCACCGAAACATCAACTACCAACAATTATATATAAGGCCTGGATATACATTTGCATAAGTGTGGGCCCAGAATGCATGAGACAGCTATGCTCTGGCTGCTACCACCACATATTCATGACCTAAGATGTATCACCACTCAGTTTGAGGATAAACAGACCATAACCGGGGGCAATTTACACAGCAAAGCAACACAAGGTGTAAACAGTGGTTTTAAGCAGATACACAACTCCAGCTTGAACATTTGCACAGCCCTGCTGTGTAGACTCAATCAAGAACATTTGTTCCACAGTACAGAGTTGCCTGGGAAAGTTAAGTCAGGGATGCATAACCTGCCGGATTCCATCGTCCCCGACTCAAGACTTCTCAATCTAATCACTTGCATGCTTCCTTTATTCCATTAAGCTTATCCCTTCCAAGATATCTTGTAGACCCAGCAAACATTAGAATGAGGGTAGCCTTTACACAGGCAAGATTAAATGTCCTTCCACTAGCAGATTGGATGGGATGGCACAAAGGAATTTCTAAGAAGGACAGAGTCCGTGGTTGCAACTCTGTCAATAGAAGATACAACTCATGTGCTCCTTGAATGCCCTTTTTATAATAATCTTAGAAACGACTATATTTACGCATTGTTAAGCTCACAGAATGGGACGCGGGTGGCGCTGTGGGTTAAACCACAGAGCCTAGGACTTGCCGATCAGAAGGTTGGTGGTTCGAATCCCTGCGACAGGGTGAGCTCCCGTTGCTCAGTCCCTGCTCCTGCCAACCTAGCAGTTCGAAAGCACGTCAAAGTGCAAGTAGATAAATAGGTATCGCTCCAGCAGGAAGGTAAACGGCATTTCCATGTGCTGCTCTGGTTCGCCAGAAGCGTCTCAGTCATGCTGGCCACATGACCCAGAAGCTGTATGCCCGCTCCCTCGGCCAATAAACGAGATGAGCACCGCAACCCCAGAGTCAGCCACGACTGGACCTAATGGGCAGGGGTCCCTTTACCTTTACCTTTATGATCACAGAAGGAAAGGTCATCCTTAGCAAAGACTTGTTTTTTGATGTCTGGTGTAGAGAAGTATATATCCTTCAGAATATCTAAATTTCTTGCTAAGGCTCTACAAATCTGGATGTATAGGAAATGATTTATCCTTGAAGGGTTAAGGAGCAGAAATGTACAGTGGTACCTTGGGTTACAGACGCTTCAGGTTACAGACTCCGCTAATCCAGATATAGTACCTTGGGTTAAGAACTTTGCTTCAGGATGAGAACAGAAATCATGCTCCAGTGGCACAGTGGCAGTGGGAAGCCCCATTAGCTAAAGTGGTACCTCAGGTTAAGAACGTTTCAGGTTAAGAACGGACCTCCAGAACAAATTAAGTTCTTAACCTGAGGTACCACTGTAAATCTCTATTATTACTTAGCATTTTCATGCGTATAACAGCTATCTGCTAAAGCACAAAAAACTGACTTGGGCTGATGGGTGCTGGAAGTCCAACAATGTCCGGAGGTCCCCAAGTCACCCACACCTGCAATGGGACAAGTGCATTTTGGGCAGGAGTTCTTCAAGAGAGCAGTTATGTTGATAAAGTAATTGCAGGACTCCTTTCCTAGCTAGTGGCTCAGTAAAGCCTTCTACAGCACACCCAACTAACACCATCACACAGAAAGATATTTAAGAGCTCACACTGCCAATCTTCGTTACCAAGAAATTTTGCCATAAATTGAAAGTCCCAATTGACCAATACTATGGACTCACAGTTTATTATCAAAGAGAAAAGGACAATGAGTGGTATAAATGCAGTTACTCTTCAACTACTGGGGATCACTCTGGACCAGAAGGGAACCACCAGACAATCTTAATTAAGGAATGCAACCCAGCTAGCCTTGTTGCAGCAAAGAATTTTGTTTACTACCCAAGAAGACACGAACCAATGAAGAAGTGGTGCTTAGCAAATAGTGTAAAGTTTTCCATGTGCAGAGGGAAAGTTGTTTTTCTGCAAAAAAAATGCTTCCAAGTTCAACCCGGTGTGTTGCAAGCTCACTTAAAGCTTTAAGTTAGCAAGTGTCTACCACACAGTAGAAGGAAAAAATGTTTCATTGCAACTGTAGTACAATGAAACACTGGAGGAGCATGGTTTTTTCTTGTTACCTGCCCTGAACATATTAGTACTTCTGGGTGGTAAATATATGCTCCTTTTGGTTGTTGTGTACTATTTTACTGTTTTATTTCATTTTTAACTTATTCTTTCATTTACGGTAATGCTTTTATTTTTATTTTACTGTTGTAAGCCAACCCAAGGTCTGGGAGGACTAAGGACACCAAAGTGAATAATTTAAAATCTTACTCATCTAAGATGCAACATGAAGCAATTTTACCCTCATTCCACATATACACATTTCCACTCCCCAAATCAAATATCCAGTAAGCAGCCAAAATGGCCAATACAGCGAGTGGTACATTTTGTGTTTCCCCAACAGCACCGCCGCATACTCTGCTTTTGTAAATCCCTTTCGTTTTTATTAGAAAGAAAATGTAGAGAATACTTTGTAATTCAAGGCAGCAATTATCATAAAATTGTAAAGTTGGAAGGGATCCTGAGGATCATCCAGTCCAACCCCCCTGCAATGCCACTGTCCAATATGGGGATTGAACCTGCAACCTTGGCATTATCAGAAGAGGAGTTTGGATTTGATATCCCGCTTTATCACTACCCTAAGGAGTCTCAAAGTGGCTAACAATCTCCTTTCCCTTCCTCCCCCATAACAAACACTCTGTGAGGTGAGTGGGGCTGAGAGACTTCAGAGAAGTGTGACTAGCCCAAGGTCACCCAGCAGCTGCATGTGGAGGAGTGGGGAATCAAACCCGGTTCACCAGATTACGAGTCTACCACTACACCAAACTGGCTTACCAGCACCACACTCTAACCAACTGGGCTACCCAGCAGATTCTAGGCATACTTACTGGTCTTACTGAACAGGTCAGCAGCTCTGTCTGTGCAGCAAATAAAGATAAGTCCAGGCTCCATGTGTTTCAGACCAGTTCTTCCATCTTCATAGCAGAGCAGTTGTCTGGATATAGACTGGTCGGGCAGTGTTTTGTGTCTCTCTCTGCCCCATTTCCCTGCCTTCATTGCCACTGACATTCTGCTGGACTACAATTTGCACCAACCCTGACTATTGGCTGTGCTGGCTGGGTTTGAGGGGAGTTGGAGTCCAAACAGAACATCTGTAGGGCCACACATTTCCAGCTCCAAATACTTTGCCAACACACTCTGAGGTTCAGGTGCCCAGGAGAATTAATAAGCCTTTGGTGAAGGGCAATAGAGACATCTTAAAGATAAAAGTAAATCAAGTGGGCAAAACAAGACTGCATTCAGTACACAGAGCTGCAACTCTGTGTTTCTAGTGCACTTTTCTGAGGAAACAGCCTTGCAACTCAAAAGGAGAAGCTGAAAATAAAAATTTGGGTATGGACAGGTGGATCAGGTAATGACACGAAACAGCTTATTTTGGCAGACTGCCTTTTTATTGCATGTGTTCTGTTTGAGAAGTACAAAAAGAACCAACTGAAGGACTTGCATTTCAAAATTAGCAGTTTGCAAGTTACAGAATTCCAGTTTCTGCTCGACCGTTAAAAACACACACGTCAATTTTATCACTTAAGTCTTGCCCAAAAGAAGTGTGTTTCCTAGATCCGAGAAAGGCAGTGATATCTTTTTTGTACATAAAAAAGGGACACACAATCACTTAAAACCTCATTGTAAAAAGGTAGTTATGGATAGCTGAGCTGTATTGAATGCAAGTCAGGAGTTGACAGCCTGGTTTCACATGCTGGGAAAAAAAAGTATTCAGCCTATCAAATATAAAGAGCTTTGCGGCAGTGATATAGGGAAGGCACCAATTGTTTGGCTGAAAACTCACAATTATGCTTTATTTGAAAGGTTCTTACTTTACTGTATGTATTTACAGTGCCCTAGTGTCAACTCATTCTTCTGCCTACACTTTTTGCTAGAAACAGAAGCGTCTTGCAAGCTAACAAGTGTAAATCGTGAAATAAAGAAGAGCCTAAAACAGTGATGTATGTGGTTTCCCCCCACCGCTAAAAAAAAACCCCAAAGCCTTTACCAAAAAACACACACACAAAAACTGTTCAGCAGAGAGATAATTCACATCCATGTCATCCTGTACATTACAGAAATCATATACCTATACTTATTCTACACCAGCTAGCTGTTTTTCAAGAGAGCTCCGCCTCCCTCCACACACAGTGTAACTTAACACACATTTAAATACTGCTTTGGAAGTGCTGACATTCACCGGTTTTGGTCCTATCGATACACATTCCCAACAAGACCCCCAACTTCACACTTTGGGCATGCAAGGGAGTTGAAGGCACCCTATCCATCTTTGACCTCCTCTTCTACACAGAACAGCTTCTGAAGACATTTGCTCTCCAAACTCTCTTAACGCTCTGACACAAGTTGGACCGAGATAAAAGCCAGCCACGCACATTAATAGATGCTAACTCCCTCAGGCTCTGCATGTTGAGCCTGCGCTCCCAGAACCTCAACTACAAACGCCAGTCTAATATGATTCTAGTCCCTGGGACTTGGCAGCAACAGAAGCTCTCATCACCCCTTAACAGGCTCCGTCCTGTACGCTGATTGCCACACCCTGCATTTTAGGTACCGGGTGGCAGAGGGAGTTTGGAAATCCAGTGGAGAAGTAGCCACTATCCCAAAAATGCAATGCAGAAGAGGTAGATAACAAACGGTGGCTCCGGGACTACTATGTGGACCTGGTACACAGGGAACAAGGACAACACTACAGCCAGTAGGACCAGAAGTAACTGGAAAAGTGTGCACACCTCAATGCTTCCACCTCTATGTTCCCTCATATTACAAAGCACAGTGTATAAAATTTCTCCCACTAGAATTCCAGAGGAGTCATACGCCTAACTTTTAAGAACTCCATCTCTTTGGACAGACCTTTTAATTTGAGGAGGGTCTTCGTTCACACACCATTCAGCTGCAATAGAGTGACTGAGTGTTACCAGTGAAAAGGGGGTGGGAACATTGAAAGCCACATAATAACCAGTTTTATTATTATTTTTTTAAAAAAGAAAAGAACATTCTCTAATGCACACAGGGATGGCTACTAAGCGTTGGGGTGCCGAAATGTCTTTAGCATACAGACATGCACATTATACCTTACTAATTTCTTGGTGCATGTTCCTAGGACGTCAAGACTATATACAATCGGTTCCTTATCTTTTCCCCAGGAGTCCTTAGACTAAGGCTAAGGTTCCACTTTAAAGGTAATCTTTGTGCAAGAAAGCAGGTATGGTTTTAATTAATCCAGATTGACTTTGGAAAAATAGAGGCGTTCCCAATGGTAAGGAGGCAGAGGCTTAAGCTCAGTCCTATGGCTTTTAGTTCCCCCCACCCCTTTTTAAAACGCAGTGAGAACTCATGATGTCCAGGAGACATCCAAATGTCTTTTAAACTTTCTTTGTTCATGCGTAGAATTCTTCTTGTTTCTGTGGTTTCTGATAGCCTCCATTTGACTGTTTTGGCTCATCCAGTGAGTAGCTTCCTTCATCTTTTTTCTTCATTCTGTACAGCATGAACCCAACTAGGAATCCAGCAAACAGCAGACCTACTAGTCCGCCAGCGATGACTCCTGTGGAAAAAGCAAGTGCCGAGTTAGATGTATTCAGATTAGGAATAAATGAAGTGATAAAGTATACTTTTCACACGAAAAACCCAGTAGCATTCCTGCTCGGTATCATGTCCTCGGAAATCAAGACAACATGTAGACCACTCGTTATGTATGCCACCACAGAGGCAAGAATTCTCATAGCGAAAAATTGGAAAAGCAACATAATCCCCATCAAATCTGACTGGTTAGCTAAAACGATTGAATATTTACATCTTGCAAAACTAACGGGGAGAGTAAAAGGAAACACTGTTCAAAAAGTTAATAAAGAATAGTTAATTCTTAAAGAATATCTTAAAAACTATATGGACAATGCAAATCTCCTAGCAGATTCAGACTAAATCTTGTAAATAGAGGGAAGATATGGTAAAATATATATAGAGAAACAAAAGGAAACTGTGACATGCGTATTGAGTTAAGACTGATAACAAAGCATTAAGGGGAAAGTTGAAAGTCAAATGTGTGTTGTGTGATGTCCAATGAAAAGGTACGAGGGTAGGTATTGTATGAAATGTATGTACTGTGTATTGTGTAATATCTGTTGAGTTTTATGTCATTAATGTGTGATAACAATAAAGATTATGTTTTTTTTTTAAAAAAGATAAAGTATCACCCCCCCAGCAAATTTGCCCACCTCACTGCTCATCCCTAATTCTAGATCATTTATAAACAAGTTAAAAGAAGCACAGGCCCCAACAGCAATCCTTGAGGGACTCTACTTTCTACATCTCTCCATTCGGAGAACTTTCCATGGCTACAAGCCATGATGGCTATGGTCTGCAACTGGAGGCGCTAACACAACTGGAGGCGCAAACACTTCCAAATACTAGTTGCTGGAGACCACAGGAGGGGAGCATGCCCTTATACTCAGACCCTGCTTGAGAGTTTCCCCACAGGCATCTGGTTGGCCCCACTGATGCTTCTTATGTTTCTCCAAGAGTGACCAACGCTTCGTAAAAAGAACAGCCAGACAAAGGCATGCTACAAATAGAGTTGTTTCTGTGGAATCTCCAGTCTGGATCAGGGCTAGACAACATGATGCCCTCCAGATATTGTTTTGTCTATAAATTCCCATCATCAGCCATGCTGGTTGGGAGTTGAGAGCCCAACAAGGTCTGAGAGCCTACAGATTCCCCATTTCTGGTCCAGGTGAAACAATCCAAGTGTCCAGCTTTGGGGGCTAACCTTTTTCCTCCAAGCTGCTAAGAATGGTGCATACAGAAGTATTCTCCATTGAGCACAGCCTTCTGAACACATATTTAAGGTCCCGATCATGTGCCCTCTACACAAAGGCCCTGCTCACCCTCCACATGCTAAGGAAGCAAGAGTGGGGATGCACTAGTTGTGCTTAGGCTTTGTCATCTGTTGTCACAAAGCCATATAGGAACTTCAACCCATAAGATGCTTAGCATAGTACTGGGTTGCCCTGGGCATAATTAACCATACAGTGATACCAATGTGAGCAGCTACTCTACAGCAGCTGTTGAGGTTGTGACAAGTGTAGAGCTCCTCAAGTTCATACTGCAGCTTTGCTGTGCAGAAAACAGTATGGCAGCTCAGCAACAGCTGTCAACTGAGATAGTGCTAGAGGTTGCACAATAACTAGTTTAAACCAAGCAGGGAAAGAAGGAGAGGGAGGGAGAGAGAGAGAGAGAGAGAGAGAGAGAGAGATCATCTAATTTCACATACCTCCTAGAACTTCTTTCCTGTCCATTATTCCTTGGGCGGTTCCTGCAGATTTTGCATTCTTTGTTTCTGTATCTACTGATTTATCACCGGGCTGAGATCCCACTCCTAGTACTGAATTTTCTCCACGTAGATCAATTGAAAAGTCATCCTGCATAGAAGAACAATCACACCATTTTAAATTTTCTTTCCACAGATTCAGTGCATGTATGTTGTTCACACAGCTACAAGAGTTTCTGAGGCAGCGTTGCTACTCAAAGTTCTATCATGACATGTGCTCAAAGTCTGCATTTAAACAGTCTGCAAGCTATAGCACAGGTCAATGGCAAAGCTGAAGGGCAATTGCTTGCATTTCGGCGTAAGAGTTAAATTTATGTAGCAGCATGGTGAACAGTGTCTCGTTCTTACCTTACTTCCAGAACCATCCTCAATTAGGATGCCTCCGTCATCGGGCAAAGAAGGGATTTCATTCTGGTCACCAGAGGATATTGTAGTGGGACTTGCAGTATCCAGACTTCTCTCACTAGTTGGCACAAAGTCCAAAGCAGGTGTTGCATCATCAGTGCTTGATGCTTGATGGACATCTTGGTAGACTTCTGCCTCAATGAAGTGTGTGCTAGAAATTTGAGAGGTTGTGGTTCTGACTGTGGAAATGTGGTGAGTCGCTGGGATTCTAGTCGTTACGACCGGAGACCTTGTTGTTCCTTGTTCAGTAAATGAGTCCAGCTCATATTCTGTAGCTACTGCTGTCTTGTCGGTCACCAGATCCATCAATGGGACTGAAGGCATGCTTGTTTGGGACACAGGTCCTCCTGGATAGTCTTCTGTAGGGCTGTCTGTTTGCTGTACCTCAGGCTGCTTATATTCCGAGTCAGTTGAGGATTCAGGCAACGACGACATATTTGTTCTTCCTTGTAGTGAAACTTTTACGAAGGTTGCAGGATGGCCTGACAAAGAAACCAAAGCATCAGTATTCGTTTTAGTCAGTACACAGGAGGCCTCTAAAAACACACTACATTGTGTAAGAGGAAGCTCACCCAAGTGGTTCAAGAAGTCTGAGGAATCCCTATCTCTTCAATAGCCAATTCCCACCCCGTGGCCAACTAATTATGATAGTGGTACCTCGGGTTAAGTACTTAATTCGTTCCAGAGGTCCGTTCTTAACCTGAAACTGTTCTTAACCTGAAGCACCACTTTAGCTAATGGGGCCTCCCGCTGCTGCCGCGCCGCTGCTGTGCGATTTCTGTTCTCGTCCTGAAGCAAAGTTCTTAACCCGAGGTCATATTTCTGGGTTAGCGGAGTCTGTAACCTGAAGCGTATGTAACCTGAAGCGTTTGTAACCCGAGGTACCACTGTATAAGCTTAAAGAGTTAGAGCTGTTCAGAACCCAAGAGTTCAGGAAGCGCTTTGTTCACAGCTAAGCAAACACAGAAACAAGCTTACCTGCTCCAGAACCAGAAAAAGAGTCGTAATCATCACCAGATGAGTCCATGTCTTCAGGTGGGAAACTGATGTCTGCTGGTTGCTACAGAACAGAAAACAAAGTACATTTAGAATATTCTCCGTTGATTGTTTCCTGCACACATTACAAATCCTAGCAAAATGCCCATCACTATGCTAGGTGGGATGCCATATAGAGGAATACTTTTTATTCTGCAAGGACTAAGGGTAGGGCGAGAGGGTGTATGTATGTATGTATGTATGTATGTCTGTATCTGCAATACCCTTACAAACAAAGACAAACACCTACTGTACACATATAAACCCTGATAGATCCTTCTTGGCAAAGCCGGACCATTCAGTATTGAAAATAAAGGGCAGTTAGTTGCACTGTAAAGAACACTGCTTTATTCCACCTCCCTACTCCTTTCTGAATATACCCATACTGTAAGCTACAAAAATGAAGCTTGCTTCACAGCCATAGTGAATAATAATTACATGCTGAACAGAGATTAGAAGAGCCACAGAGGAACTTATTATTATGATGATTCATTTTTGCATAGCAATAAGACATAAAGATTCAGAATCATGCAAGGCACACATGGAAGTTTTGTTTCCAATTTACACTCTTTTCTGCAATGTGTCTTTTAGACACTTACACAAGCAATACTGGAATCATTTCATTCCACTATTTGTTTAGCAAAGTACTGGCACTAGAGAAGAGATGCAATTAGTATAATTAAACAGATACACATGGTCATATAAGAAAGTAAGTAAGAGCAGGGGAAAAGTAAGAATTGGAAAATTTTAAGAGCAACTTTCATTAGGAAAAAAATTGGTTTGCTAAGTAAAATGTTCTGATGCCCTAGAGTGTGATCTAATTTAGCAGGTTTACTTTCTTTGAAACAGAGAAGCTTGGCCAATATCATACTTGCAACTGACATCTTTTCATGTTTATGAAATGCGGGAGGGGGGTTGGATGTGGAAAAATAAAAGAACTGGAAACTTTTCTGCCCAGCGTCACTGCCTGTGGGCCATGAAAAAGGCACACAGAAACTACTCTGATACTAGAGCTTGTGGTGAACGTGTTCAGAATACCCCTGAAGCCATTAAATTCTTTGGCTGCATTATATCAAATGTAGAAATTTGATTCTACACTCTTTTCAAGCCATTTGGCCAGCTGAGAGCCCTCAACACAAACTTCCTTATCCAAAAACAAGCCTACAATCCTTGCTAAATGATGGTCTTTTTATTGGTGATGAGATCAAACAAGGGTTTTACTTGGGAGCATCAGATGAACTCCTTCCCCAAGTCCCTTTTCACAAAACACTGGACACTACAGAAACACAACATGCCCTCGTTTGGGCAGACAGGTAAGGTAGGTAATGACAGCTTTTCACATGTATTTTGGGCTCATCCTCTATCTAGAGTGCTGCAAGGCTGTTTTCTGCAAACCTTTAAGTTATATTCCCCTTTGTATGAGTGCCTATCTGCACTCTTTGCTACATCAAGATAAACACTCACAGAGAAAGAGACTTTCCCTGCAGGGCTATCTTATCTATATGGTTTGATTCCATTTCTCCATTGTGTTCCAGCTGTGTCAGCCTGCCTCTTAAGCATCCGTTCTACTGTTAAAGGAACAGCAGTTTTCCTGCCTTCAAGAGGATATCAAACTAGATTTAGAGCAGAGCTGGGGAACCTTTTCACTCTTGAGGGATGCATATCCTTCAGGCTATCCTGCCAGGGACTGCCGGAGCAAAAAGTGGGCAAAATTTGCAGCCCTGTGCTACTCTGTGCCATCGCTACATCCCTCCTTCCCTCCGGTGCACAGTGAGAAAGAGGGTTCCCAGAGGGAAGTCAAAGTGGGCCTGCAACATCTGGAGGGTCACATGAAATTAGGCTGGTTGGCAGTAGTGGAAAAAGGTTGCCCACTGGAGGGAAGAATCAGTTGGGATAAATGGTCACCAGCACCAAGACAGATGATCCTATCTGCATGAAGTTGCTTCCATACAAACAGTTAACAGTCTTGGCGGTTCTGGATGTCACGTTTGGCTCTCCTCAAATAGGATTTTTGCATCACATCCCACATAGTTGTTCCACATCACAGACCCTGTGTGTCAATGCACAGCCTCTGAAATAGCATTTTGTCTCTTTCACATACCTCCACTGCCACATCACAATGCTGACATCTGAGGCAAGGATTAGGAGGCAATCGATTTTGTGCATTTTTATGTCCTTAATCCTACAGGATTTACAAGGCAACCGTTCACATTTGCGCTAGCAGCACCAAATGCTTAAGGCATACACAAACCATTCTGCTGGCATGGAAGAAAGCTAGTTACGGATCATTGCTTTGGAGGTCTAAAACTGCCCAGAAGATCAAGAGAAAGTTCCTCCAAGGATGAGAAACCAAACACAGCCCTGGCATGTTTGGCAGCTTTCATTCCCAACGAGAGGTATTGGAAGCTGTCTTAGAACTTATCTCATGGATAAGTTCCCTCATCTCATAGATATCAAGTGAAAGGTTTCAAATACTAGACACTTTTCAGTGAGACTAAAGCATGCAATGTGGATTCTGTTCTGAACACTTTCTTGTAGAAGCTTGTCCTATGCAGGTGTTCAGTTTGTTAAAATAAAAAAGCATCTCTATACTGGAGGTAGATAGCTACAGGGGAGGCTTCTGGTAGCCCTACACTCTTCTCATGAACTTGTGAGAAGCGCTTGTTACTTTTCACCTCCAGGCAATTTGACTGCACATGCATACCTTTAAAAGTAAAACATATATATATAGTGTTACAGGTTCTACGATTTTGGCTCTCAAGATATCGAACAGTGCTAGAAACTGGGATAGAAAACTAGGAGGTCCAATGGCTAGGTTGTGGGCACCAAAACAGAATATCTAATCACCTCTTATTTTGGTGGGGGGACAACACTTTTTATTATTTTGATAAGCATGAACTAATATGCAATTCACATAAGAGATACATTGTTAATATCACATTTTTATCAGAAACTGTTAATACATTTTAATTCCCAAGTACGAATTCCAAAGGATCAGCGCATCCCAACCCACGCATTATTGTAGGAGTTGAGAATCCAGCCTCTTTGAATTGAAATCTCCAGAAAGTTATTTGAATGCTGTGGTCTAAACCACCGAGCCTCTTGGGCTTGCTGATCGGAAGGTCAGCGGTTCAAATCCCTGCAACGGGGTGAGCTCCCGTTGCTCGGTCCCTGCTCCTGCCAACCTAGCAGTTCAAAAGCACGTCAAAGTGCAAGTAGATAAATAGGTACTGCTCTGGTGGGAAGGTAAACGGCGTTTCCGTGTGCTGCTCTGGTTCTCCAGAAGCGGCTTAGTCATGCTGGCCACATGACCTGGAAGCTGTCTGCGGACAAACGCCAGCTCCCTCAGCCACTAAAGCGAGATGAGCTCCACAACCCCAGAGTCATCCGCGACTGGACTTAACGGTCAAGAGTCCCTTTACCTTTACCCTCTGGTTGGGTTTCTTTGATAACAAGAGATTGACACAACTATTTCCTATTAAGAGTCTCTGAATGCTGTCCTTGGTATAGCAAATGTTTTTATTGGGTTTTCCCTATACTTCCAGCAGCATTTATGAAGACACTCTGAATACATGTATTTCAAGGATGTCTCAGCTGGAAGGCTGTGGATGGGAAGGATGTATATTCTCCAGGTGGAGACAAAGTAATAGTCTCTTCTTCCCCACCCCATTTCAAATGAGACATGTGTGGGAAAGATTTTAAGGCACATATACTTTTTATTGATGCTTTCCTAAAACAGCTGGATTATCAGCTTGAGTTATGCCCATAGTATTTACATCGAAACAGGGAGAAAACTCCAATATTTTACAGGCTACATACTAAATATCTTGGGTAGGTCATTATGCCATGGATTATGCCTTCAGGTAGACCACAAGGAGCCTATTTCAAACATCACTATGAAGTGGCGAGCTGGCTGAAGGAAAAAACTCGTGTCCAAAAAAGTACAGCAAGATGAGTGCTGGCCCTAGCAAGGTGTGTCACTAAGGCTCTGCTTCAGGCACCAAAATATATTGGATTGGTGCCAACTCCATCACCGGAGTTCCAAGAATATGTATCCAAGAATATATATATTGAGTTCAAGCCAGACCCCTTGTGGCATTCAGACTAATGCAACCAAAATTCTCTTCTCAATTTAGTCTTTTTTTAAAACAGAAAACCCAGCAAATTATCTTGTAGGAATTAAGATTGAGATCAGCTATCTCTGAGCTTCAATAAAGGACAGCTGTATGTGTGGTGATGTTGATCACCATCTGCTAATTTTAGCTGCTCCAAGTTTTCAAAAGATTCTGAAGTTCAAGAACAAGGAAGGCGATAAGAAAGCTTGGTAAGCTTCACCACTTTAACTCACCACTTTGCAAACTGTGCAGCTGCTCATTTTACTCAGTGTGCAAGTTCTTAATGAGCTATAGTGCCATGCACTTTGCTCAGCTACAGCCTGTTGGGCTTCAAGCAGAGCAGGTCCAACTGCTTAGACAAATCGATGGCTCTTAATGTGGGTTGCTTATTAAGCAGCAGTTGGCCTTCAAGGGGGGAAAACAACAACAAGATCTATTGTCATTTGGGGTTCTAACAAGATGGTCTCTAAATTCTAACCCTCCCTTAGCTGCCCGCTGATAATTCCACTCTGCAAAAAAACAAGTTCTAGAAAGTTATTTGACTGAAGCAACAGCTGCCTTTGGGGGAAAGCAGCTGACACAGCGGTGATTGGACTGCACCACTTCAAACTGCCTGAGGAAGATTGCATAGTTGGAAGCCATCCCATGGGGTAGGTGGAATCCTGTACTTGCACATCAGGAGGTAGAAGCTAGATGAAAACTCTTCACAGTATCTAATTTTCTAGCCTCAGCTGCTTTAATACAGAGGAGCCTTCAACCATGAGATCTGGCAGCTGTAGTCTGATGTGGCATTATCCAGAAACCGATCTTATCATCCCATCAACTATTACTGTAAGCTAGACCAAAGACATATTGTGATGTGTACAAACCATTCAGATCTTGTATGGAGACTAAACATGCTTGAGTGGCTTCTGTCAACTCAAGCTCGAGTTGGTAGATGAAGGAATACCAGAAACTCCATTAGCTGCGCTTGGAAGAGTGTGGAGAGCACCACACCTTTTTCATTTAACTATATCTAAAAGTGTTTAAATTTGCTTGAACTTTTTTTTTTTTTAAGGTAAAGGGACCCCTGACCATTAGGTCCAGTTGTGGACGACTCTGGGCTTGTGGTGCTCATCTTGCTTTACTGGCCAAGGGAGCCAGCGTACAGCTTCCAAGTCATGTGGCCAGCATGACTAAGCTGCTTCTGGTGAACCAGAGCAGCACACGGAAGCGCCATTTACCTTCCCGCCGGAGCGGTGCCTATTTATCTACTTGCACTTTGACATGCTTTCGAACTGCTAGATTAGCAGGAGCAGGGACCGAACAGCGGGAGCTCACCCCATCACGGGGATTCGAACCACCGACCACTTGACTGGCAAGCCCTAGGCTCTATGGTTTAACCCACAGCACCACCCACATCTTTTTTTTTTTTTTACTGCAACCAAATTTATGTTTCAGATTGCTACAGTGGTACATTGGTTCTCAAACACCTTGGTACTCAAACAACTTGCAACCCAAACACTGCAAACCTGGAAGTAAGTGTTCCAGTCTGCGAACTCTTCGGAAGCCAAACGTGCTCCGTTTTGAGTGTTACACTTCCGTTTTGAGTGCCACACTTCTGTTTGTTTTTGCTTTTCGTTTTGCAGCTCTTTTTTGTTTTGTTTTTATAACTGTTTGGAACCCAGTTCAGCTACTGATTGATTGTGTGACTGCAGTACATTGTTTATTGCTTTCATTTTATGGCTCAATGGTCTCATTAGAAAGTAAAAATCCATGTTAAATTGTTGTTTTAGGGGTTGTTTTTAAAAGTCTGGAAAGGATTAATCCATTTTGCATTACTTTCTATGGGAAAGTGTGTCCTGGTTTTGGAACAAACTTCCGGTACGGATTTAGTTTGAGAACCAAGGTACCACTGTACTGTGCTGTCCTTGCTTGCTTTGCTGTGATGCTGCTAGACTTGCCTCCTACGTGAATAACATTTTAGCAGGTGTCTTATCCAGACAGTAGGTTGTCCTTGAGAGGGAGACACCAGGCAGTTTCCATGCTGACTCACTGCTATCTCTCTCAGAAACAGCAAGGTAAGCCTGGACACTTGATATCACGAGATCTATTGGCAGATACGGCATCTTGTGAACAAAGCCCATCAAGGTGACGGATTAGGATGTTCAGACAACACCCACATCCTCCTAGTCAAGCATTGGCCATGACTTTAAATCTCTAGATTATTTCCCACCTGAAGGATTTACCTCACCACTTACTGCAAAAAACAGGAAGCATGGCCTAGGAGTAAGCAAAGACGATGCACTGAGGTTTTCCATTCATGGAATCATAAAATTATAGAGTTGGAAGGGACCACGAGCGTCATCGAGTCTTACAACACAGGAATCTTTTGCCGAACATGGTGCTTGAACCCACAGCCCTGAGATTAAGAGCGTCGTGTTCTACCTACAGAGCTATCTCCATTCCTTTCATTCAAAGGTGAGAGGGAAACACTTTCAAAAGCAATTTACTGGGATAATTCACCATTTCTCCCAACAGTACATTAAAGCCATAGCTTTTATGTACACCATTAAGATACTATAAAGGTCAAGATGGCACAGCACAATTATAGTATGACAAAAAGTATGTCGGAAGAGGCAGGTTAGTCCACACTTTGTCCACAAGAAACAAGAGAGCAGCTACCCTTTTCCTTGGGACATTTCCACATACTATAATTCTGGCGGTTGCACAGTTCGCATGGCTGGTGGCAAGATGGACTGTTGAGATCACAAGTGCCAAGAGTGTCCCAGGTCATCCAAAGTTAAAAGTCAAGTGGGAGCATTCCAAGTATTTGCAAACATGGGGTTGTTCACCAAGATATTGGTCTAGTTCATACTTGGAAGGTCACCATTTCCCAGGCACTGCACTCTTTCCTTTGAAAAATGAAAAATGTTTTCACTTATTTGAGTGCCCAGTTTGGTCCAACCAGGATCTATCCTTATGTCAACAATATTTTATCCTGGGAACCTGAGAATAGTTACCAGTGTTTGAAATTAGCCAGGCACCAGATCATTGGATCTGGACTGTTTTCACACACTAATACCCCACTCTGTAGAATTTTATCAGTGATATTTTATCTGAACTAGTCAAATGTTTTATTGAGAATCAATCACAGTCAGTGAGTCATTTGAAAAATAAGACTTTAGAGGTGTCTTGCCCCAAAATGGCAACTAGACATTCTAGTTAAACCCTTGGTTTAAGGAGCCATTTGGCACCTAGCTTATTTATCTTAAGTTTCCAACACTGATAGTTACAGTTCAGATCAGGTTATAGATGGGTGTCATGGTGGACACATTATGACAGCTTTGTTAAGAAGTTTCAAGTTACTAGCTCCCAAGAATCTCAACTAGCCCACATGGCCACAGATACCAGCTTCAGTTGTATCTGGTTCCAAGGACTTGGGGAGAGGTGAAGACATGCATTCCTCATAAAGCTTCCCTGTCTGGTCACCTGGACACAATTCTTACTCACCACAGGTGACCAGGAGTGTGACTATTTTACAACTCTCTTTTCTAAGTCCGCCAGCCAACCCTACAGTGCCAGTGCTCTACAGTGGGCATACAGTATTTCTCCCTTTTACAGACATCTGTTCCTACTTACAGTTAAGGAAGCACCATATACTAGTCCTTTGCTTCAGCAGGATGGAGCTGTACATTTAAAAAGACAGTTTTAAAAGGTGCCATTTCCTTATGCAGACCTCCATCTGGGGTGTTCAAAAAGCTCAAAGAAAGGACTTGGCATATTATAACTCATTCCTCTGAAAGCTGTGGCATTTAAATACCTCCCTGCCCCGCAACCCTCACAAATGATCTTCTAAAATGAAGCAAAAGTCATTAATAGTTTTGCCTGTTTAAAAAGTTCTGCTCTTTGAGAAACATATACCAAGACATTGACAGACCTCCCAGTTTCTCCTGAACACAAGCCAAGAATGAATGGAATAATAGGTAGCATAGCCTATTCCACATAATGTGCAAAGTGATGGTAGAAATTGAATTTAACCCAATATAGTCATCAATAAAACATATTATGGTTTCTCCGGGGGGGGGGGGGTTGTAACTTCACAGCAAGTACTGCTCTCTCCCGCTGAGCTTGTATGACCAGAAGGGAAAAGGCAGTTAAGCATTTCAAACAAGAGTTGAGTCATGATTTACAAAGGCTACAAAATGGCACAAGAGAAGGTAGCATATCGCTTCAGACTGCAGGTGGGACGGTTGTGGTTTCCAAATGCTCCCTTGCATAAAAGATTCCATGCAAGTAGAAAACTGGCACAGCAAGAAGTAGGCTGGGATAGTCCTCCTCTTCTTGCTATACTTGGTTTTGGGCAGGGTTGTGTTTACCGTGTTTAACCATGTTTTAATTGCTGCAACCCACTCTGGGACCTTAGGCTGAAGGATGGGTGATAATTGTAATATTAGAATAATAATGGGGTACCATAATAAGCACAGGATTCCTGCCTGCAATCTGAAGCCCTTGTCTTCTACCACCTGCTTCTCGTGTAGGCCAGGTTTCAAAAGTATTACACACCCAAGAAATGAAGTCTTGCAGTTGTTTGGAGTTTTTCCGTCACCTGAATCAGAGACATCTATTTACTCTTTATCATTGCCTATTTGACCCAGGGGGTAGGGGAAGATCTACTGATGATTCTCTGCATGATTTCCAGTAGGTCAGCAAGGGGTTTTAACAGCAGCAACAAAAGTACTTTCCCCTAAAGTAGGCTTCCGATATGAAGGAAGCTAAGGAGGAACAGACTCTTATGTGAAATAGCTGGATGCTCAACTCAGTGCTTTAAATGTATGTTGTGAGTGTGACCTAACAGTCATCTCTTCTTCCCAAAGAATCCAGGGAACTGCACTTTGTTGAGGCTGTTGACTTCGCTATCCCAGAAATATTACCTCGGGTTAAGAACTTTGCTTCAGGATGAGAACAGAAATCGAGCTCTGGCAGTGTGGTGGCAGCAGGAGGCCCCATTAGCTAAAGTAGTGCTTCAGGTTAAGAACAGTTTCAGGTTAAGAACAGACCTCTGGAACGAATTAAGTACTTAACCTGAGGTACCACTGTGATTCAGCATCCTTGCACTACAGTCCCCTGGATTCTCAATGACTGCTGAAGCGGTACAGTAATGTTTTAAATGCCTGATGTGGACGCTGACCTCAGTTAAGTTCTGGTACTGAAAGCAAAACTCTAGACTCAAGAAAGTGTTCAGAGGCACCCTGATCTTTAAAGCCAAACTGCATTTCCTTTGCACTTGGCTCCCGTGGTTCTATTATAAGTGCATCTGACAAGCCTGAGGTCTGCCCATGCACGATTTAGCCTAGCATTTCCCCAGTTGTTGTTGGACCACAATTCCCATCATCCCTAGCTAGGCAGGACCAGTGGTCAGGGATGATGAGAGTTGTGGTCCAACAACAGCTGGGGACCCAGCTTTGAGAAACACTGAGCCTGCTTGTCCCCTTACTCTTTCAACCAACCAGATGCTTTTGCCTCCTGGACCCGTGTCAGGCCCAAATATTTAATTCTGCTACCTCCCTCCCCTTTTTGTGCCTGGCACACAAGTCCCATTATGCCAAGGACCAGACAGACTCTTTGGCTCACAGGAAGTACATTAGTAATCGCCACAAAATTACCCCTCAGTGACCTGAGGATCAAGGCCGATAGTTAACACAACCTCAATTAGAGTAAAAGGATGACAGAGACATCACTAGGGGCATAATCTTACAAAAAGTAGTATGTGAACACTCAGCCATCTCCACTTATTACATAAGTAATCCCTTTCACCACCCCAGAGGTGATTAGGCTAGCATTAATTCAACTTTTAGAAAGCAAGGGCTGATGACACAGAAACTGGCTAAGGGTTTGCAGTAAATTTTATGAGAGCTGAAAGGGTGATCGCAAGCTGCATTTATCCCCTGTGGTTGGAAAAGCACATTAAGCCCATCAAGCTAACCTATTATTTTTTTACTTAAGACTCCTCCCAGCAGAGGTGACGGCTGATTCCTTTCTACTTAACAAAGCATATACAGATGTCTTTCCCATCAGACCTCACAGATGAAGACAGAAACACACCCACATGCTCTTATCTTTCAGCTCTGTGAGGCCTGCTGAGCTGTGAAGGTTATCTCTGATCTGAGCACAGCAAAGCCAGCTGCATGGCACTGAGCAGTCTAGGGACCTGTTTACGTAGGCAAAGGACCTTCTGCTGCTGTATTCCACAAGCAACCTCCAAGGCTTACAACTAAGGCTCCGGAACTACCGTATTTTTTGCCCTATAGGACGCACCGGCCCATAGGACGCACCTAGATTTTTGGGGGGAAATAAAGGGGAAAAAATTATTCCCCCACCCCACCCAGGCGTGGGGCTGGGGCGAGGGAAGCCCGAGCTTCCCCCGACCCCAGCCCCCAGAACTGGAGCCAGAGCGATGCCGAAGCTGAGCGCAGCTTCGGCATCGCTTTGGGAGCTTGCGCGGCTGGGGGCGGGGGAAGCCCAAGCTTCCCCCGACCCCAGCGCGGGTCCCAGAGCGATGCCAAAGCTGCGCAGAGCTTCAGCATCGCTCTGGGAGCTTGGCAACCTTCACGAGCCCAGCACGGCTTCGTGCCGGGCTCCGGGGGGTTGCGCGGAGCCCGGGAGCGCAGGCAGCTCTGCGCAACCTTCGGGAGGCGGGGGAAGCCCGAGCGGAGCTGCGCGAAGCCCGGGAGCACAGGCAGCTCTGCGCAACCTTCGGGAGCCCGGCGCGGCTTCGCGCCGGGCTCCCTAGGGCTGCACAGAGCTTTCTGAAACCTGGAGAGGGAGAGGGCTCAGTGCGCACCGACCCCGATCACTCACCAGGCTTCAGCAAAAGCCTGTATTCGCCCCATAGGACGCACACACATTTCCCCTTCATTTTTGGAGGGGAAAAAGTGCGTCCTATAGGGTGAAAAATACGGTAACAATTTCACAAGGAGCCACCTTCTGCTTCACTTGATGTGGCACCATCATGCTTATGGTAGAAACAGATCTGACCCGCAAAACAATGGATAAACTGAGCACATCTGTATGTGGCCTGGATACTAAAAACCCTCCTCCTATTGCACAATTCTACCTGTGCATTAAGATTATATTCTGAAGACCCTCCAAATCCCCTGCCATCAGAAGTAATGCGGGTGGCAACCAGAACAACCTTTTCCAGTCGTGGCACCTTGTCTATGGAATTCCCTTACTAGGAGCTTTGTTCTGCACCATTCCAGGTTTTGGGGCATGAAGAGAACATTTGGTCAGGCATTAGACAACTCTCACACTGGAATTCCTAATTCTTCTGCTGCCTTTTTGCTTGAACCTGATTTTTGGTTTTATTTCGTTTGTGTACTTGAATTTTCAACAAGCTTTTGACAAAGTCCTCATCAGAGACTCCTTAGTGAGCTTAGCAGTTATGGGAAAATAGGTCAGGTGATCTTATGGACCAGGTTAAGAAACAGGAAAAAGCTGACAGTTCTCAAAATGGAGGGATGGAGAAATTGGAGCCCCCCAAGGATCTGGATTTGGGATCCCTTTTAATTACCCAGGGCCTCAATTAAGCCCTCCATGCCTCTGTCTGACCCTTGAATCTCTCTCCAGGCCAGATTCCTCACTTGCCTTGCTTCACACACTTAAGCACTTTTTTTTTTGCTCGAATATGTCCGTAACTCTGATAATTATTTTCAATTGCCTAGATAAAGGATCGAAGGGGGCATGTGAGTTTTTGTGGAACCTGGTCAACTGCACAGAAGTAAAGCAGTTGCAAAAGGAACTCTCCAAACTGGATGAATTGGGAAATAAAAACGGCAAACACTGTTCAGTGTAAGCAAGTGTGAAGCGATGCACACTGGGATGCAAAAATAAAAATCCTAACTTCACATATATGCTAATGGCATCTGAACAGGCTATAAGAGAACCAGAGAGAAGAGGTTTGGTTCATATTTGCTAGCACAGTGAGGAACATAAGAAGAGTCTTGCCAAAGACCCATCAAGTCCAGCATCCTATTCTCACAGTGGCCAAACAGGTGCCTGAATAGGAAGACCCCAACCTAGGTCCTATGTCTATATGCAGACCACTTTTCCTCACTTGTTATTCCCAGGAACTGGTATTCAGAGGCATGCTCCCTCTGACAATGGAGGCAGAAAGAACATAACCTCATCCTCCATGAATTTGTTTAACCCCCTTTTACAGTCATACACTTATGGCAGCAAATTCCAGTTTTAACCATGCACAGTGCATAGGACTGGGGTACAAAGCCTTGCAATACAAGGGTCCTAGGGAAGCTCATCAAAATAAGAAGCTACTCCTTAGGCCATAGCTGTCAACCGCCCCTTATTTGGTGGGAAACTCCCTTATCCCAGTGCTGTGTCCCGCTGCTGCCCCTTATTGATGATGTCCCTTAAATTTTCCGGGTTTCAAAGGAAGCAGCTCCTCTCCCTCCCTTCCTGCCGGCCAGGGAGGAGGGAGGCTCCAACTGGGTTGCTTGGCTGCGTTGCTCACCCAATAAGGAGTCTAAGAACAACTGGGGGGTGGAGCTTGCATGCCTTGTGCTGATCAAATCGGCCGCGTTGCCTGGGGACTCGCCATTGCTCAGCGTTTCCCAGCGGAGAGGTGACAGTGGTTTTCCTTGCTGCATCCCCTTTGCCGGGTTGCTGCACTGTGAGAACCCCACCGCTTGAGGCTTCCTTTGGCTGATGGCTGGGCTTTCTGCTTTTGGCTCAGAGGGGCTCAGAAGTTGAACATACCTGTGCCCTGAAAATCTCTTATTTTGGCTGCTGGTCCCTTATTTTCGAGGCTGCTGGTCCCTTATTTTCAAATCTGTAAATTGACAGCTATGCCTTAGGCCCACCCTCAATAAGATACCATCTTGCTTTTATCCAGTCTACAAACATGTCAGGAGCTTCTGGCTGGTTTAGATTTCAGTGCCTAGCATGCAGCTTAGCTTTCTGTAATGTTACTTAAATGCTAGAGGAGTGATTCAGATGATATACAAGATGTTGCCTTGTATCACTGATAGTACCTTCAGCATGCTGCATGCATAGGTTTCATGCTTGGCATCAATGCTTCTTCTGAGAGCTCGCGTAATTTTTCCCCCTTGTGATATTCTAATCAGTTAGTCCCACCAAGAAGCAGGTAGTATACAAAGTGTTGCCAAGGTAAACTGTTATTACTTTTTGGACACTTGCAGACTGGCTGTCTGAAACAGATTCTCATCTACTCACTCACACACCCCTCCTGAATTTAATTAAACACGGTGCTGATTGAGTATGTAGGCCAATTTTCTCTTGGATTAGTTTTAACCTTGAGTCAAAAGACATTTTGATAGACTTAAGGTATATAAAAAATGAGTTCCATTGTGAAGGCCTATTGTGTATTTAGTCATGCCTCAGCATGCCATTTTAAGCCACAGTTCATTGAGTAAAGCCCTCAATTTAGTGCAGAGAAGAGTACAACATTCATTGTGCCTCTAAGCTTCTCAATTGAAGGGTGGGGTTGAGAATTGGGAATTTCAGATGCAACCAAAGCACAAGAGGCCAATCTTGGCATTGAGGCAGCTACAATTGCAGGTACTGACAAAATACTAAAGGAGACAAACTTGAAATGACATTCAATACTCTCTGCCGTTGGTCAATTGGGACGTGAATCTAAATCTCAAATATAATCCCTCGTCCTCTTCTAGGTTACCCATAAAATGCAGCCTTCATGCAACTATGGAGCATTATTTATTTCATTTTTAAAAGACATCCATTATACCCAAGCACCGCATTGGTAAATATACCTGTTTCTGTTGTCTAAATTGATGGTGAGTTTTTCCAAATATAAATACCTGTGATATGAAATCCGCAGTTAGCACTGTATGTCATTAAATTAATATGTAAGGATGGGGCTGTGTGTGTTGAGTGCTAATAATTCACCTCTCATGTTTTTCCTGGCTTAAAACTGTCCCCATTGGAAAACAGATGTGGGAGGTTGAAACTCTCCTCACAGTTCCAATGGGGGGGGGAGCATCGGGTGGAATCTGCAGCTGTTAAAAAATCATGACAGATGATAAGAACTCTTATATCATCGCTAGTTTGGCCCAGTGCTTGGCATGAAATTGCAAACAAGGTTATTTCCTCTGAGATATCTGAAATTGCTGCCATCACATGGGAAATCTATTCAGATAGTGGTTTTTAAAAGGGGGGGGGAGGAATAACCACAGACCAAGTAAATCTAAAACACTACAAAAGTCGGGAACGAATGTGCATGTGAAGTTTCACTCCCCATCATTTCCATTCCCTTAACAGGACAACCCTATGCATGCTTGTTTATTCGTAAGAAAATACCATGGAGTTCAATGGAATTTACTTCTGGAGCATGCATGGCGTTTTGAGCACGGATGTGTGTCAGCCTACAAATCACTTGAGGCAATCTACAAAAGGCAAGTTTTCAGTGCTACCCCCCCCGTCCCCACTGCTTTTGTTATAATGCAGCCTCCATGTAGTACAGATATCTATGGTCAATATCTGAAATTTCAGGCAAACAAGAGGTCATGCACTCTCACCTGTGGAAACCAGTTAGGAGACTCTTATATCCTGTTAGCCACCATATATCCCATTACCCTTATGGAGCCAACAGTCTTTGAAGCTGTGTTGCAAAACTTAATAGCTCACCACTAGAACACTATGCTGACCTTTTCAGCAAAGCTTACTTCTGCCTTTCAACACTATATATTCTTGCATTCACATTTCACAAGGTGCAATATTAGCAGAATACCCAGACATTAAATAATAATAAAAACCATGTTAAGCTTGAGATGGCAAGAGCTGTAGGGTAAGAAAGGATTTGGGGGGGGGGGGATTGGTCTGCAAATCTGTGCATAGCTTACCTGGGAGCAAGTTCCATGAAATTCAGGGACACTTGCTTCCAAGAGGACATGTACAGGATTGCACTGTCATCCATCTTTGAGCAATGAGTCCTCCCCACTTTGCTGGAAATCCCACCCACCTTTGTATAGGGAAGAAAACCAATGAAAAAAGCTGGCTGCGAGGCTCTGCATAGAAAAACTATAAGGACCCTTCAAGCAGAACTTGGTAAATGTGGAAGGTCCTCTTGAGAGCTCCCTTATCATTTACCAACAGTTAAGATGGGATGGAAGAGCTGCACTTTTTGATATCTAATCAAGTAGCTTCCCCATTCTCATACCGTACATGTCCAGAACTTGTAATGGCATCAAGAGTTTTATACTGCGCAGGAGAACTTTCCAATAACAAGGAGTTGTTGTGTGTCACCTTAGACTCCTCTCTTGCAGCTAGAATGCTCATAGTCTGCTTTGTCAGATGAATTTGTAGAGTGCAGGGCCTCTTATCAATCATTTTCCATCAAATGTGTTGAAAGCCTCTACGCCAAGTTAGCCAAAAGGTTCCTAGAAGCCAGAAGGTGCTTCACCATCGAGTCTAAACAGGCCTTAGATCAGAAAAGAACAAGCACTGCCTGCTAGACAATGTTTAGATCATCCAACAGCACCTTAGGCGTTATCTCATGCCAAACTAGATCAGCTGAACTCCCACAATGCCTGGCAGTTCCAACTGTGGGAGTGTTGCAGCCTAGAGCTGATTTTCAGTTATTGGTAGAAACTGGTATTATCAGTTTGCTCAGTACAGTAGCCTAAACTTTGGACTAAAATGGTGCTTTCATGACCAATGTTTCGTTTGCAAGACTTTAATCCTGACAAATTCTCAAGATACCCCATATCAAATTTTAAAGACAACTACTAATTTATTTTTTGCTCCTGTAAGCATTTCATATTACTAAGGAAGCATGATAAAGGATGCTCTGTGAAGCTTTACTGATTGCATTTGAGTGCCCTCCCACAATTTTATGTCTCAGTCTATATGCTTTGGCTGTGCAATATGCTAAAGAGTCACACTACCTTGTCACACAAAGGCAAAGACCAATGGAAGTGTCTAGACTAGGGTAGTCAGAAGTATATGCTTTACTTCTCGACGGTTCACACAATATTCCCAAGTTTTTCCCCTCCTTATAAGAAAATAAGAACTGCATTGGCATTGTGCTCAGTCACAACAAGCAAAAAAGAGGGGGTTTCAGAAGTCACCGCTCTTCTGCTTTTCACTAATCAGACTCCATCTATTAGAAGCTATCAAACATTGTTTCCTGGAAAGGGGGGGGGGGAGAAACCATACCCCTAATCCTTTTTCTTTTTGCTTTCCTGTTTTGAGGAAGAACAGATGGAGATCACACTTTTTAATGGGAGACTATGCAGGTGCAAGTCCACGTAGGAGTTCACTCTATCAAAACAGGATGGGGCAAACCCTTATAATGAGAGCCAGTGTGGTGTAGTGGTTAAGAGCGGTAGACTCGTAATCTGGTGAACCAGGTTCGCGTCTCCGTTCCTCCACATGCAGCTGCTGGGTGACCTTGGGCTAGTCACACTTCTTTGAAGTCTCTCAGCCCCACTCACCTCACAGAGTGTTTGTTGTGGGGGACGAAAGGAAAGGAGAATGTTAGCCGCTTTGAGACTCCTTAGGGTAGTGATAAAGCGGGATATCAAATCCAAACTCCTCCTCTTCTTCTAAGCAGCATGCATTGGTGTTAGCTGCACACAGTATTTTGGACAGACTCTTCATCTATATGGCACTATAAAGGAGTTAGAAAATTCATAAGCATTCAGGCAGAGTTGCTTTCTTCTCCTCCCTATGTATTAAAAATGGACAGGGAGTAGGATTAGCTAAGCCATGATTCATATAGCCACCACGTTTGAACCAGGAAGTTAGTTAGCTTCGACTGTAATTGACAGCGGCCTTTCTCTTCCCATGTTACCTAACCATCAAACTGTTTTAATAAAAGCCTTCGGCGCAAGTCAGCATCCCCAGGGTGGCGTGTAAGATGGAAAAACAGAATGCAAACAAATGCATAAATATGGAGCAACATCCAGGCTGAAATAAATCTCAGGAGATAAAAAGTTTAGATACACTGCTGGATTTCCTTTCCCAAAAGCTCAAATTTTGAGCATTTGAGAAAATAAAGTTTGGGCGATCGAAGTCTTGCAACCAGTTCACCCTAGGTGCAAATCCGAGCTAAACTTCATTCCTAGCCAACAGCCTACAACATTTGCTTTTAACTATGAGGTATGTTTGGAGAACACGGAGCTCTGGGACTCCAACTACTAAAATCAGGCTCCTTATGATAGTACTAAAAACATTTTGTACCTCAAGACAAGCCTGCATGAAGGCCATCTACACAGGACAGGAAACTCCCATTCTCTGCTTACCATACTGAGATTTCTCAAGAGTTTTAGTCTTGCACAGTCTCAAGGTAACAGAAAGGCTAATCCAATCCACAAATTACACAACTTTACAAGGGAACACAAAAGCTAGCACCATCTCTTCCCTTGTTAGATTGGTACGTTTCTACCACACTGTCATATGAAGAGATGTAATTATTTTATGATGCCATTTTGTTGGCTGGAAGACACCAAGTACATGCTGGTGTTTGTGTTTCAAGCTCCAAGTAACCCTTTATCTATCGTTCTGAGGCACTTGGGTTACGCTATGCAAGACCACACACACTTCAGAAAATTTGGGCCTGCTTGCCAGGCAGACAGTGATATTATTAAGAGAATCATTAAATTAAAAGTGTGCATTCATCAATTGAACTGTTCCTTTCACCAACTTCTGTTTAGGTCACCTGCCAGCAGTGTCCTTTTGTGTTCTGCACAGGACAACAGGTTAGTCTCTATACAAAAGAATCCATGAACACAAATCAGAAATAACATATCATAGACTAGGAGAGAATTTCTGCTACTGATCTTAAGGGGGACCATAGCTGAACAAAGTAATTTATTTCAAAGGGAGACACCAGCACAAAATTGCAAAGTTGAATTGTATTTATTTGAGTCTGTATAAAGGCAATTGTTTCACCTCCCACCAAAGACAATCCCAGGCTAACTGATTTGCTAGTTAGCCACTGCTGTCACAAAAGGACACTGACCTTTTTTTTCCAGGAACACATTCTAGTTCTGATTGAATTATCATTATCTGTACTTCATGCCTTTCAGCTCCCTCTGGTCCTACTGCTTACAACTTAAATCTCCCCTCATCCCTTACAGTTGTATGCCTGCAACTGAAGACGACACTTCACACATGCACATCTGATGAAGCAGACTCTAGTTCACAAAGCTTTTATGCCACAATACAATCAGCTAGTCTTTAAGATGCCAGGGTTTCCCAAACTGGGGTCTCCAGCTGTTTTTGGACTACAGTTCCCATCATCCCTGACCACTGGTCCTGCTAGCTCAGGATGGTAGGAGTTGTAGTCCAAAAATAGCTAGAGATGCAAGTTTGGGAAACCCTGGGCTACACAACAGCATGAGTGTGCTACCATTTAATCAGCCAGGCATGTTGCTAACCACACAAATACAATATAATACACTGACAGGTGCAAATATGAAGGCTCAGAATTATGTCAAGTGTGCAGAACTCCCTAAACTACTATTTTCCAAATTAAGTTAAGCAGCTTCGATCTCTTCTCTAATTAACTGTTGACCGAGTTAGGCTCCGTCTGTAACCCTTGGGAAATTAACCTTTAAACGAGCATGAAAGTTGCAGAAGTGCAAACCCACTGCCATTTCTACAACTGCTAAAAAGGTTTTATGCTGTTATAAGTCTGCAATTGCACTGTGGCAAAATAAGGAGGAAGGCTTGAAGAATTTGGAGTTGTAAGGTTTGAAGAATTAAGGAAGAGTTCATTTCTTGAGAGTGCAGAGAATTGGGGTAATTTTGAGGAGGCACGAAGACAGGGGAATAGCCAATCTGGTCATTTATCGAACCCACATTCCACACAGGAACCTTTAAAAAAAAAGAAACAAACAAACAAACAGAAGTTGCTGGGGTGTTTTCAAGTTCTCCCCTTCCTGCTTCTGAATCACTGTGGACTGGAGTACTGTTTACTAGAGATACCTTTAATATCCAACTGAAGCTGGTGGACAAGCCTTGCAGTATGTTCTCCAATGCACTATTACATTCATGCAGATTTTCAGAAGTCCTGTTTATTATGCAGTGATCTCCCCTAAATCAAAGGTAACTCATACTGGCTTCAATCAAACGGCCTCGGTCCTGTATACATAAAGGAGTGTCTCCACCACCATCGTTCAGCCCAGACACTGAGATCCAGCACTGAGGGCCTTCTGGCGGTTCCCAAGTGAGGTTACAGGGAACCAGACAGAGGGCCTTCTCGGTAGTGGCACCTGCCCTGTGGAATGCCCTCCCATCAGATGTCAAGGAAATAAGCAGCTATCCTATTTTTAAAAGACATCTGAAGGCAGCCCTGTTTAGGGAAGTTTTTAATATTTAATGCTGTATTGCTTTTAACACTCAATTGGGAGCCGCCCAGAGTGGTTGGGGAAACTCAGCCAGATGGATGGGGTGTAAATAATAAATTTATTATTATTATTCAACTCAATTTCTCAGGTGCACCCACAGATTATACGTACTTCGATGCAATATTTAAAAGAAACTAAAGTTGAATAAGGCCAGCAAGTAAATTATCAGTTACAGATACAGAATTGTGCAGTCAGGGTCAAGGGTTCAAGCGTTCAGTTTTCTCCCCCCCCCCATGGATTTGACACATTCTTCCAAGGAGGGGCCGTTAATTCATAATTTATACGCACTGCAATCAGAGTTGTGGTGGCCGCTAGTGACAAGAGGCAACCTCTGAACATAAACAATGAGTTAAATGTCAGAATGAAAAGTCTTAGAAATCTATAAAATATTCACACACACACCCGTCATTTCTCAGCACCAATCCTCAGACTGCAGAGCAATGCTATGCAAGCTCTTTTGAGTTGCCTTTCTGTTCGTTCGTATCCATCTTCCAAGCTAAGCAGCAGACTGAGCAACCACAGCTTTGTCCTCTAGATGCAACATTTGTCCTCTGGGTGCAAATGTTACTGGCAACAATTATAAGTGGACAAAGAGTTCCATGTTGGATGAAAGCTATTGAGACAGGAGTCATTACTGAGTGCTTGGATGCCAGAGAGCTCTCTCTACCCTCAGAGCTCCTAAGAACTTCCCAAATAAGACGCAACTCAGAGTCAGCAGCTGTACATGATGCAGCTGACCCTGGGCTGAACCATTTCAGTGAGTGGATGGAGGGGAGATTAAATGTCTCTCCATAAATTCTCTGCCCATTCAGAGCTAGCATTTCCTAGAAAAATGCCCACCACCTGAAATCTCAAGAGGCTAAGGTAAAGTCTTGCGAGTTACTGGCTACAATTGCTTGCTGAAAGCTTCTAGTTGGATTTTAGAGCACATCAACTACTTCTAAAATCAAGAGAAATTCACCTCCTGCTGCTTGAGACTAGCTAGCCCCATTACTTTAAAGCAATGGAATCGTTAAGAGCTCATCCAGTTCCTCTAGACAAGCCTTCTGAAATGTAGCAAGATCCATAAGTTTTGGGCTACCACTGCCATCAGCCTCAGACAGCAGGGTCAATGGTCAGGAACAGGGTGGATAAAAATCAATGATTATTATTATTAAAAGATATTTTTTATTTAAATCAGATTTTTTTAAAAAATTGGATTATTATTTTTATTTAAATCAGATTTTTAAAATAAAATGCTTTTGGAGGAAAAATCTTTCTAAAGATCGTTTTCTATTTAAGTTACATTATAATCCAAAGGCTATTCATCAAGAAATAAGGATTTGTTTTAAGTTTTTCATGTGTGCCAAAACTCAATCTAAGGTTAGTTTTGGTTTTTCTTAAAAAAAAAATCATTTAACCACATCAGTTAACAAACATGGATACACATGCTATGTTATTGTTTTAGTTAAATAAATTGTTTACGTTGTTATTAAGGAAATGATTTTTTTTCTCCTTTCAATAAAGTACAGCAGAAAGGCTGTCCAAATATAAACAATCAACTTATTAAACCTCGTAATAATTTCATAATTATCTATGTATTTCTAATAGTATCACCAAATCAGCATTTTTTTTATATATCTGTAAAAACTACTCTGAAAATTTATTATTCCAAAAAATGAAATCTTCATCTGGTTGTAAATATTAAGATTATGCCAGCAAGAATGAGCCTTTCTGTAAAAATAAATATATAAATAAATAAAATCTTTCTGACTAGTGATTTAAATCGATTTGATTTAAATCAAATCCACCCTGGTCAGGAATAGTAGAAGCTGTCATTATGCATCTGGAGAGCACCAGGACAGCTTCCCTCTCTACCAAAATGGTAGAGCTTTACTGCTTTGTCTCTTCTGTCCATAAGGAAGCAATACTGTACTGGATTTCTTGGCTGACCCCCAGGTAAAACAGATCTAACCATTTCATATGAGAAGAATCATTAAGGTTGCAGCAGTAAGGAGTCTTTCAGTTTCAAATAACAGTAAACTACTCAGTCTGTATACAGTCATACCTCAGGTTACAGATGGTTCAGGTTGCGTTTTTTCGGGTTACGGACCACCGAAACCCGGAAGTAACGGAAAGGGTTACATCCGGGTTTCGGCGGTCGCATATGCGCAGAAGCGCTAAATCGCGCTTTGCGTATAAGTGCCGAATCGCAACCCGTGGGTGCACAGACGCACTGGTGCGGGTTGTGAACATGCATGCCACAGGGATCACGTTCACAACCCGAGCGTCCACTGTAGTTGGGTCATAAAATGTTGAGTCACCACTACAGTTGAAATTATGTGTTAAAGTGAAATAGCAGGAAAGGCTATATAGGCCTGCGTAAGGGTAGAAGCTCTGGTTCGCCAGAAGCGGCTTAGTCATGCTGGCCACATGACCCGGAAGCTGTATGCCGGCTCCCTCGGCCAATAAACGAGATGAGCGCCGCAACCCCAGAGTCGGTCACGACTGGACCTAAGGGTAGAAGAGATGGATCGAAGTCTATAGAGGCCTCCTCCACACCCAATACCCAGGTAATGGTGCCACTAAAAAAATATCACCTTTCCTTACTAAGGTCCTCTGCTGTTTAAATTCAGCTTTACTCAAACCACCACAAAGCTCAGAATGCAGGCAAAAAGGAGGAGAAAGAATCACAGCCAATTCCCAGTTTATTTTTTTTACAACCCAACTCTTAACAAGGTCACTCTACAGGAAAGGAACTTCACTGGAGAAATCAATGGACTTGCTTGGCAGCAAGTAAGGATTTTAGTGTGGGAATGTTTAAATGCAAATATAAATGAGAGAGAGATTGATTGATCCCAGGAAAGATCATTCAGAGCCCAAAATCCTGGCATACTTACTGTATTTTAAAGATATGCCATTTTACATATAAACAATATACAAGGAAGAACAGACTGGTGGATTATCTCCCTCAGTAAATAAATGAGGTAAGTTTGTTGCCCAACACTGAGTGAGTCTGAAGTGTCTGCAGCAACTAAACCTCCAGTACTTTTATCAAGACCTTTTGCCAGGTATCTCTCCACTTGTATAGACAGGAGAAAGTCAACTTTCTGTGGGCGTGACTCTTCCTGTGAGAAGTAGGATCAGATTCAAGGAGCCTCCATAAGTTTTCAGCAAATCATACCCTGCTCTTTGATAAAGCATGTATAAAGCCTAACCAGAGTTGAAACTAGACGACTTACAGTGGGGATGATTTGTAAGTGAGTCAAGTCTAGCTAAAAGGTTGCTAAGTAATTATTCACTTGCCATGTGCAGCACACGTAAGCAGAGCTCCGACAGATGAACTTGTTCCAGATGTGCATTCTACAATCCAAGAGTTTAACCCTTGAAGCAGTTTGGGGACACTGTCCCCTAATATGTACAGCAAGACTCCAGATTTATTACTTCTAACTTGAAGTAAATAGTACTGGCACCAATGGGCCTTAGAGATAGTTAACATATGTGTGTTCTTATCACGATGGCCTACTCTGCTGAGTCATGAGTTCCATGCGTGAATGAACCCTGCTCTGCCAGATCAGCCGAGAGAAATTTCATGCAAGCTGCCAAGATGGCAAACAGAGGGATCAATTAACACAACCAGCCCTGTTGCCTTCCAGGTGGTGTTATTATAATGCTAATTATTATTTATTAAATTTGGATACTGCCCGTCACCCCAAGATCCCAGGGTTGTTCACAACAGAAAGATGCAAGATGAGAATGCAAAATACGTAACAAAAATAAACCAATAACCTCCCTCCCACAACACATTTTAAAAGCCATAGAATGTTAATCAGCTGAACGCCTGGCTGAAGAGAAACATTTTTGCCTGGTGTCTAAAGAAGGTGCCAGGTAGGCCTCCCTGGGGACAGCATGGCACAAACAAGGAGCCACTGCAGAAAAGGCACTTTCTCGTGTTGCCAACTTCTGGACCTCTCATGGAGGAAGCACACAAAGAAGGGCCTCAGATGGTGATTGCTAAGTCTGCGTAGTTTGCATGGGGAGAGTTGGCCTTTGGGCTACTGCGGTTCCTGAGCTTTACAGGTCAAAAGCAGCACTGTGAATTGGGCCCAGAAACTAATTGGCAGCCAGTGCAGTTGGGTCAGGATCAATGTACAGTGATATGCTCAAACCATCTTTCCCTGACTGCTTAATTTCCCACCAGCTGAAGTTTTCAGAGGTAGCCCTATGTATAATGCATTGCAAGATGATATTTGATTCCAACTCCCTTCAGCCCCAGCCAGCATAGCAAACAGTCAGGGATGATCGGACTTGCAATTCAACAACATCTGGCTAATGGGTTACAACACATCATCGTCATCATTATTATTGCAAACTGTTTTAACTGATTTCAACAGAATGCATCTTATATATATTTATCTCAGGTGTCAAAACATCAAGGTAGGAAGGTGATTTTTCAGATATTTGGGACACAAGTCATTTAAGGCTCTAAATGTCAACATATTGAATTTATGCTCTCAACAATGTAAACCACTTGAATTAGGCCCAGAAACAAAGTAGCAACCAACCAGTGCAGGAGCTGTAAATGGGATTGTGGTCAGTTAACTGGCTGCCGTGTTTGGAAACAATTGAAGTTTCTGCATCGTCCTCAAGGGCCGACCAATGTAGAGCATTATTGCAATAATCTCACAGGAAGTTCAAAAGAAGTCGAAGCTGATGAACCAGCTATAGATTGACATGGCAAATCTGATGCCAGCTCCCATGGGGAACATGTGGGCATGTTATGTAGCATAGAGGGTAACATGGAGCCCTGCAGTATGTCACAAGACAATCCTGATTGCCCTGAACAACAGGCCTCCCCATAACTACTTTCTCAAAAGAGCCCTGAAGGCAGGAGCTGAACCACTTTAATGCAGCTTCACCCACCTCTCAGCACCATTCAAGAAGGTCAAGAACAAGGAGGGAGGTCACACTCCTCCATCTCTGTTCCAACAAATATTATCAACCAAGGCAGTTTCAGTGCCATGACCAGGTCAGAAACTAAATTGAAATGGGCCAAGATAATCAGTTTCCTCAAAGCATACCCAAAGGTGGGCTGCCACCACAAAGGGGACAGTCGCCACTGTGTGACACGTGTGGTAGCTGATAAGAGAACCTCACGGGGTAAGGAACAGCTCAAGGAAAAGACCCACTATCCCTACCCACTCTACCCTACCATTCCTGCAATGATGCATTAATCACCCTCTAGACCCAAATGCGGGTGGCACTGTGGGTTAAACCACTGAGCCTAGGACTTGCCGATCAGAAGGTCGCGGTTCGAATCCCTGCAATGGGGTGAGCTCCCGTTGCTCAGTCCCTGCTCCTGCCAACCTAGCAGTTCGAAAGCATGTCAAAGTGCAAGTAGATAAATAGGTACCGCTCTGGCAGGAAGGTAAATGGCATTTCCGTTCGCTGCTCTGATTCGCCATGCTGGCCACATGACCCGGAAGCTATTGACCTCGGCCAATAAAGTGAGATGAGTGCCACAACCCCAGAGTCGGTCACGACTGGACCTAATGGTCAGGGGTCCCTTTACCTTTACCTAGACCCAAACAGTCAATCTCCATCAGCTAGCTCTAAGATGACAAGAACACTTCTCCAAGCAGCTTGCTCACATCCTCAGTCAAAAGTGACACAGCACAGATGGAAAAGACAGTGCTCCAGATTCCTCATTACGATGCCTAATTCTGCCTGAACCCCGCAAAACTGATGCAGCAGACTTCCAAGACTGTTGAAGCAACACCTTCTTAGCTAGGTAATTAAAAGCCCATTCAGCACATCAAAAAAGGCCTGCTAGACAGGCACTTTCCTTGCCACTGCCACCACCCATGGCAGAAGCAGAAATGTACTCTCACCTACACTGAGTCATGTTCAGACGGAAATTTGCACCACCAGTGCTCAACCGTTGGCCCTGTTTTATTGCATGTAGGTCAGTAGAGTACACACACCAAACTCTCTCTCTCTCTCTCTTTTTACAGTATGTACTGCCTTGGTTGAGAAATGGTACAGATCAATTTTAAGATTGTACAAGTGAAACAAATTAAATTTTGCACGGGACACAGACATGCTGTAAAAGTACGAACATGTGAATTTCCAGATTTGTTAAGGTAGACGCTATGGGAGTGGCAGATAGAAGAAGGGCATTGTTTATTCAGTGGCGACATCTGCTGGTGCAGTGCTCAGAGGGGAGAAAAAGATAGTATTGAGATTTATTATAGGTTCTAGAGTTTGAATACGGTCTGTTTTCACTTACAGAGTAATGTTCTGTGGTTTTAATTTTCAAAGCAGACAACTCATTATTTTTCTTCAAATGTATAACAGCAAAAAAATTCTGTCTTTAGTTTTGCTGCAACTGTACAAGTATCCAGAATGATTGCCTGGAACTTCATGCTTGCTGAATTCAAAGTACATACTGCCGTTTTAAAACTTTTTAATGATGCAATTCCCTGTGCAAGGTAAATAGGCAAAGGGGGTGCCAAGTGGCACATGATAGGGAACATCAATCAACAGGTATTATGAAGATAGGGATGTCTGTTTAAGCTTTTAAACCCAGGTTTCAGGCTTTAACTGCACAAGCCATAGAAATAGATTTTTAAAGTCACATGAGGCAAAGAAAGAAGCTAACAGATTCTAAAGTCATACAGTATTACATCTGCTGAGAGGCGCCAGTGCAGAAAGTTGCAGGTACCCAACAAACTACCTATGCCCTCTTTTGATTATAACTAGTGGGACCAAGTTAATTATTAAGTTTAATCCTGTCCAACACTAGGAAAAAGAAGTGTTCTTGAGAACTATCCTGTCTGCAATCTAGTTTTAAGTGTCATTTTTTCAGCTGGTACCTGAACTGTTTGATTAAACCATCTTAGAAAGGAGGGGGAAGAGGAAAATTGCTTCATTTAAGCATAAAAGAGAAGATTCTTGCTTGTGCAAGCAAAAGGTGGGGAGAGAGAGAAAGAGTCTCTTTGAAGACCTATTAGTGTTCTGCCTTCAAGCCTGGGTGTTGAGCAGTTCCGCTGTTTCAGGCGTTTTGAAAACCAGAGCCCTGCCCCTTGTTATTTGGACCCTTGAAACAAAATTCAAGATCCGTCTTAAGGATCCAGGCATCTCAGTAAGAATGTGAGCAGCTCTTCCTTTACCCCACCATCAGTCACGAGGACAAACGTAAAATTGTACAGTTGGAAGGGACCCCTGAGGATCCTCTAGTCCAACCCCCTACCATACTGGGATCAAACCTGCAACTTGGCATCTACACCTCTTGGGAACAAAGCCAACGGTAGCTCAGGTCAAATGGCTGGGGAAATGCAGGAAAGTTGTGTGGGTGACTTTGGTCAGCAAAGCATCTCCCAAGATCTACTTGGCAAGACTAAGTAATTGTGGTGGCTCTGTCAGCGCTCTTTTCCCCAGGCCGTCACAAGTTTATAGGAAGAAGTCTGCCTACTCCAGAAGCAACCTCATCTTTTCAGGTCTCACAGGGGCATGAATTAGCAAAAGTGCATTTGCACCCATCTGCCTTGGTTCCAGAAACCCTTGCTCTCCCCCCTCCCATGTGAAAAAATCCAAGTCCTTCACACATCATCTGTAGGATTACCATATGTCGCAACTTCCCCACCCATGATGGCACATCAGCGCCTCCAGAGTCACCTCCCACAGAGAAGCTTTGTAACGTGTGAACCGGCACAGCCCGCCGTGCCTGTTTGCTACTTCTCCAACTAGCCTATTCCAAGGAAGCCCCTGTATTGAGAACCCGGGACTTCTGCTCACCAAAAAAAGGGGGGGAAGTATGATTGAACAACTATTTTGGGAAGGGGGAGGAGGAGAGAGGGAGGGAGAGCCGCCCTTAAGGGGGGACAAGGCGTGCCAACTCCTGGCTTAGGTAGCCGAGTTGCAACCTGCCCTTCGGAGTTTAAAAAAACACCACCACAAAAAACCAGGGAGCAAAGCGGGCAGGCCGCTTCCCAGAGCAAGGCAAATATCCGGCTAAGAACAGGGAGGTGGAGAGGGACGAGGAGGAGGAGGGGGAAAGAAGGAGCAGGGCGGCACAGAGAGAGAGAGAGAGAGGCGCTTTGAGGTGGAGGGGAGAAAAATTCCAATCAGGTTATGAGCCTCCATGGTCTGGTTTGAATTAAACCCTTCAGGCTCTGGAATCCCCCCGCCGACACAATAGGCTGTTCTTGAAAAGGGCTTTTCGAGAGGGCTCTGCGCCCCAGAACCTGTTGAAAGGGGAGGGCGCACCGGGAGGCGGGGGGGGGGGGATGTGTAAGGAAGGAGGGAAAAGGCGCTTGGGGGGTTCCACCATTCCCAAGACACCAGCTGGAACCGCTTTCCAGGCGCGGGGGCGCAGCGGGGCCGAGGAAGGAAAAGGCGCGCGCGCGGGGCGGGGGGAGGTCCCGCGTTTCCCTCCAGTTCAAGCCAAGAGAGGAGGACGGGGCAGCCGCGAAAAAGAAAGTGCCCCCGAGTCCCCCCGGAGCTCTAGGCTTTCTCTCCGCCGACCACGTGGAGCCAACCATCCCTGCCGGGGAGCCCAGGCGGCGCTCCAGCTCGCCTCCCGCGCTGCCTACTCACCGCCGAGAGCGCCTGCGAGCAAAAGACCAAAGCGCACAGCAGCCGCGCCACGCTGACCGCCTTTGCCATCGCCAAGGTAGCTAAGTAGGTAGGTAGGTAGGTAGGTAAGGCAGGTAAACCCTCGGCGGCTGCTGCTGCTGCTTCCTCGCTGCCTTCTCGCCACCGGCGGCTGCGGAACCAAAGCGCACCGAGACGGAGCAGGACCAGCTTCTTCTGCCTTCTGATATAAATCTAACCTTCACCTAGAGCCCAGGCGCCGCCCCCGGGCCGGCTGAGGCGCCGCCCCTCGGCGCGCCCGCCACGCCCCCTCCTGCCTGCCGCTCGGACCATAAGGAGAGCTTCCTTCGCCCCGCCGAGGTTCCCCCCCCCTCCGCCCTTGTCTCTCTCTCCTTCTCCCGCGTGGCTGACGAAATCCTCCCGCCTCGCGCTCGCCTTCAGCCGGGTCACGTGGGTCGCCGGACCTTGGCTTCGAACCCCGACGGCTCCGTGCATTTTGGGGGAAGAAGAGCTTGGAAGCGTGTGTGGAAAGTCTCTTCCGCCCCTCTAGGTCCCTGTGTGTGTTCAATTAATTGCAAAAAAAAAGCGCGTTAAAGATAAAAGAGCGGGTCTCCAGCACCTGGGAACGATAAGGCGAAGCGAACAAAAGAGCAGGGAGTTACTTGAGGGCGGGAGGGAAAGCCAGGGAGACTCGACGCCTCAGAGGCTGCTGCCGCCTCAGGTTTGCGGCGCGCGACTCGGGCTGCCCCTCGTTTGCTCCCTGCGCTTAGGAGGACTTTGAAGTGAGTCCAAGCTGGGAGGCTTTGTTGCCATGCGCGACTTGAGAGTTCGGTTTCCTTAATGGCCCCACAAGACGGGCCGGTTTCTGAGGGCTTGGAAAGCTGGCGAAGTCAGGTCTGGCTGAAGAGGCGGCTCCTTCCTCAGTTCCTGCGTCCTTTGCTTGTGGATTTTGCAAACATTCCCCTTTGTTTGGGTCCTGGATGACTTGCAGGATTTTCTGGTTTTTTTAAAAAAATAATATTTATTAAATTTTTCCATTTTAACAATCCAATAAAAACCGCATTAAAACATTCCAAATTATGATGCAATCAAAAAAGCCAAATTATATATCTTTGGGTGCCTTTCCATGCTCTGCAGAGCGGATTTTCTAGAGGTGCAGAAGCTCCAGGCCTGCCTAGAGGAGAAGAAATCTGGTAACACAATCTCTCTTACTAGGTTGCCATGTTGTGGTGGTTGTTGCCTGCCAAGCTTGGGAAAGCTGCCTCTTTGGATAGGAGGTTAAATTGTGAGGAAAGCTTTGCCAGCTGTCAGGTAGCTGTTAAATGCGCAAGAGAGAAATAACTGGAGCTAAGAGATGGGTGTAAGGTTATTGGCAGCAACAGTGCATGTTCGGTGCTCCCAAATAGTCGGTGTGTCTCACATGAGCAGCTTATTTACGAAAGTCGGGAATCTGATGCTGTACAATTCTATGATTCTTCAACAGTGTTTGAAATTGGCACATTTTGCACCTGGGTTTCGACCACTTGCGCCCAAGTGAAGATGCCTGGGTGCCAGGATCTGGAGGTGCATGCCTGGGGAACATTGGATCTGGGCTGTTTTCACACACTAATGCCCCATCCTGTAGAATTATATTTTATATGCACAGTCAGTATGAATTTCTGGAACCGAAATCTGCTTCTGTGCAGTCTGAGTAGAAGCAGTCACCGTTAAGAAGAGGTCGAAATCGGCCAATATATATGTGGACTGTCCCTGGATCAAGTGACTTTTCTTCTTTAAATTCACAAAGCTCTTAACCTAGCTCAGTTTTGTCATCTGGACTAGCCAGTTGTTTAACACAGAATCAATCGCAGGCGGTCCATCATTTGGAAAATAAGGCTAGAGATATCTTGCCCCAAAATGGCAACTAGTCATTCCATTTTGGTGACTGCAGCCTTGGTTTAAGGAGCCATTTAAGGAGCCTTACTTATATATCTGAGTTTCTAACACTCTTTCAAGGAGCACTGCATCTTCTTCAGGGGAAAAACATAAGGAATGTTGATATTATTGGTGCTATGCATTGTTCACTGAACTCTTGGCATGTTTTGTGATTAAACTTCTGAAATGCAAATTAACTTTTTAATGTTGTATTTGTTAGTTGCCTTTTAAAATACAAAACGAAATAAAAACACAGTTAAACGAAAAGGCAGGACTACAAGTTATTACTGGGATGGGGAATCCTGTGGCCCTCCAGATGTTGCCGGACTACAACTCCCATCATTCCTTGCCATTTGGCCATGCTGGGTGTGGGCCGGTGAGAGTTGCAAATCAACAATTTAAAGCCTTGTTGAATTCCCAGTATTTATATTGAAATTCTTTAGAGCTTTCATTGTGTATTTATGGTTATTGTGCTGTCAAAAGCACTTAAATTGCCGCCTCTTTTCCGTGAAGGCTTTGAGCGCAGTATACTTGTAGCATAAAAATAAACTGACAATGGCAAAGGGGTGTGTGTGGAGATATTTGCTCAGAAACTGAGCTGAAAACCTATGGGAGTTTCACTTACACCAAATTTATTAGGCAGAAATTCCAGGTGCAGTTTTACTGCTTTCAGATAAGAACATAAGACATGGCCCATCTAGTCCAGCATTCTGTTCTCACAGGGGCTGACCAGATCCCTGTGGGAAACCAGTAAGCAGAACATAAGCACAAAAGCACTCTTCCCCTCCTGTGGAATCCAGCAACTGGTATTCAGAGGCATTACTGCCCACAAGCCCTCTCCTCCATTAATTTGTCTAACGATCCTCTTTTAAAGTTGCTGGCCATCACTGCCTCCTGGTGGATCAGTTTCCATAGTTTGGTGATGCTCTGCACGAAGATGGGCGGTGAGACATCCTGCATAGGCTTAGAGAATCTGTTGCTTTCTTCCCAAGTTGACTATAGATAGCTACCCCCCTTTTACCATGTTAGAGAATAAGAGAGATTGGGAATGTTGCACAGCTGTGCATCATGAATGTATTGGTTGGGAACCTATGGACTTCCAGATGTTACTGATGGGCTCCAACTCCCATCAGCCCCAACCTGTATGGCCAGTAGTTGAGGATGATGGGAGTTGTAGTCCAGCAACATCTGAAGGGCCGCGGGTTCCCCATCCCAGAGAAGCCTGGTTTCAGTAGAACCTACTCCCTAAAAAGTAAGATAGGTTTACAGCATTAGGTTCACACATTTGAAGCTTGCAATCTGTATTGAAATACTTCAGTATTAACAAGTGTAGCAAACAAGCTACAAAACCCAAGGCTTGGGCATTCCTAGGGAGATTTTTTTAAAAAATAAAATAAAATATTACTGTACTTTGAACAACAGATTTTAATTCAAACTGTCCCCCAGTTGTTTATGGACCTGGCATGTTGCATGGCTATCTACTAGAGCTTCTTTAGCTGTGGTTCCTGCATTGCAAGGAGTTGGACTAGAGGATCCCTTGGGATCCCTTTCAACTCTACAGTTCTATGATTTATGATTACTCAGAGGGCTGCAAATCTGAGGTTTTGTATTTTTTCCCAGCATACCTTTACTCGGCCCCATTGATCCCAGTGTAAATTACTTCAAAGAGATATGCTTAGGGAGGGCTACCAGTTGCTCCAATCCTTTACCTTGAGCAATTAGTATGCAGATACAAGGCTCTTTGAGGAGATAATCACCCTTGTGGTTCAGGCTGCAGATGCGGCAGTGGGGGTGGCAGGGAGGAAACCCAACAAATTTGACAGATTTGGGGAGATGGGAAAGTCACTGGAGATGCCCTCCAACAAGCGATCAAAATATCCACTTCGCAATGCAGCCTGCTCCTGCCTCTGAGGAAGGCTCTCTGGCTAAGTAATGGCTGTGGTTTCTGCAAGATTTTGTGCTAGTTGACATTTTAGGAATATGCCTAAATACAATCCAGTTAGCACTGGTGTGAAGATGTGAAAAAAGAAAGAAAAGAAAAGAAAAGAAAAGAAAGATAGGCAGCGGACTTTGACATTTTGAATGAAAAGTTTTGCGTTTGAAATCAAAATCCCAAATAAGACATTCCCGTGTGTACTGTTGGCATCCCATGAATACTTTAATTGTGGACAGTGGCGTATACGAAACCTTGTAAGTTGTCAAACTGAGTAAATGAATACTGATGCTGCCATCAAAAATCGTTCATTCACAGCATAAGAAGTCTGTTGGACTGAACCAAGGACGGGCATCTGGTCCTGTAGCAGCTAGCAAAATGCATCTTGGCAGCTGATAAGCTGGGCATAAAAAGGAACAGCATTCCTCCACAATTTGTCACAGATAGCATGATAGTTAGTATTTTGACAATATTTTGGATGCTAACATTCCACATTCCTTTCTTGTTGACGCTCATGATGACTAGCAAATCTAACTAAAATATAAGGGATGGCCCAAGCCATGTAAGTGTATGGCCAACATTTTTTCCGCAGTGCATTAAAAATGTGTCATTATCATTATGTTTTAAGGCCTGCTTCTTAATTATAGCTACCCTTTTCCTTCCTTCAAATCCTTCTTTCCAGACTTTAACACCAGTGGAGGTTTCGCTTCTTTGCAATTAGACAGCAGCTGGAGCAACCTACCTTTCTGCAATATTGAGCTACTGGGCTCTGTTTCTTGGCCAAACTAATAGGAAGTGTGATGGCTCTTCCCCCCTCACCCCAGGAACCCTGGAATGAGCATCCTACAAAAGATAAGCATGGTTTTGCATCTTAATAGTCAATTTTATGAGATGGTCAAATTTACCTAGAAATACCTCTGCATCATGCAAACTGGGACCACAAACAGTATTTGTTTTGATTTATACATCTCACTCTGTTTCAAGGGCACATTGATGTGAAACAGTGATTCTACATAAATAAATGTGAGCCTCTCAGTTACTTATTTTGCATTAAAAAAAGTAAGCCCTAGAATCCTGATTCTGAATTACTAACAAACCTAAGAACTGCTTTTTACAATTTGTACTTACAATATCAACAACCAGCTACAAAAGGCAGAGGCTGTGCACTTGTCACTTTTCATTTAAAATACATGCAAATTTCTGACTCATTATTCAAACTTATTTGAAAGATCCACCTGTGCACTCTTCAGAAACGAGATCCTGTATATCTTTTGTACTTGTGATATCGGAACCCGAGTACAAAATTATAAGCAGCAAGCAGTCATAAGTTAGTCTGGGTCCAGCATGAAAGAGGAACTGGGTTTATTAGGTAAGCACTCCTTGACTCAA